GCTCAGCCCAGCTCAGCCCAGCTGAGCCCAGCTCAACTCAGCTCAGCCCAGCTTAGCCCAGCTCAGCTCAGCCCAGCTCAGCCCAGCTCAGCCCAGCTCAGCTCAACCCAGTTCAGCCCAGCTTAGCCCAGCCCAGCTCAGCTCAACCCAGCTCAGCTCAGCTCAACCCAGCTCAGCCCAGCTCAGCCCAGCTCAGCTCAGCCCTGCTCAGCCCAGCTCAGCCCAGCTCAGATCAGCTCAGCCCAACTCAGCTCAGCTCAGCCCAGCTCAACCTGGCTCAGCCAGCTCAGCCTGGATCAGCCCGACTCAGCTCGGCTCAGTTTGGCTCAGCCTGGCTTAATCCAGCCCGGCTCAGGAAGCCCAGTTTAATCCAGTTTAGTTCATCTCAGCTCAGGCTCGGCCCGGTTCTGTCCTGATAGCTCATGGTACTGGCCAGAAAGGGTGGGGCCGCCAGACCCGCCTGGCTCAGCTAAGGCCATCTCATCCAGGAGTCCTGCACAGCTGGGCTCGGTGCAGGGTCAACTCCTTCCTGGTGGCCCTTCCTCCTTCTCCTCCTCGGAGTCCCCCTCACTCCGGGTACCCCAGCTCCTCCATCCCTGCCCAGGCCCAGCGGCCATGGCTCCTGAGCGGCACCAGTCGCTACCCCCCTTCCGCTGTCTGAATGAAATGCTGCCCGGAGGCTTTCAGCTCCTTAGCACATCTTGTTCAGGAGCTGCACTGGCCACTGTCAGAAGGAAAGGTCCCTCCCTGGAACTGGCAGCATGGCTTCTTCGCGGAGAGGAGAGCCCCGGGGATTGTCTCCCGGCTGCCTTCGCCTTCCTGCGCACCTACCCTTGGCGCGAGTTCCTCCCTCCTGAGTCTAAAGTGAGTCCCGACTTGACTAAATTCCCTCTAGGAAAATCCCTCATTAAAAATGACCAGGAAACGCATTGTACCTGAGGTTGCCACTCACAATTCTGCTCTTTATCATAAACTCTGCAGAAGGCAGGGGCCACCTTCACACACACGGCAAAGACCTTAAACCCAAAGCTGCGTTTAAACTGCGTCCATTTAAGCGAGGACGTGGTAAGGGGTGCCTTGGGTCTGTGGAAGCAGCGGGAGCCACGCCGGCAGTAGTTAAGGGGCTGTGGAGCAGCCCCCGCCACGCTGTCCTCGGCCTGTTCTTTAGGGAAAGTCAGACGTGGCCCAGCCGGACGGCGGCCCCTCGAGGGATTCACCCGAGTCTCTGTCTCACCGAGCGGGCGTTGAAGACCGCCCTCCCCCGAGTGGAGCAGAAACGCCGCCTACGCGCTGTCCCGAGCAGGAAATCTGGCAGTGGGGCTGCCTCTCTTACCGTCTCGGTGCCTGGCCCCTGGCAAGCTCCGTGGGGTCCCTGGCATGGAAGGATTCCTCCAGGTCCATTAAGAAGACTGATTCACGGACAGCCGAGGGGCCCGGCGGCACAAACTGCACCTGCCGCTCCCCGCTCCGGGGGGTCCCAGGAGAGCCCCGGCTGTGGCGAGGCCGGGGCCCCCGCTCTGGGGCCCTCCACCGGAGCGCCTTCAACTCAGACGCTGGGTCGACCTTCCAGAACAGACTGTCCTTCTAGGGTGTCCTGCCCTTCTGATTCAGAACCTCACTGGGCGTCCTCTCGATGCACCAGCTCCCACGTCTGACCGAAACAGCTCACGACGGACACACACATTTCCCCCAAAGCCCGTCCTCAGGTGGACACCTGAGCAGCGGCCTTGACAAACACGGAGGCGAAAGCAACTGCAGCTGAACAGCAGAGCGTTTCTTCGTCACGAAGAGAAGATCGACCAGCCAAGACCTCTGAACACAGTCCTTGTGAAAACAGCGCTTCGGGGACCCTGGGGGGCGGCTCGCGATGAGCAACCGTGAAGGACTGACGCGTTAAAAGTGATAGGAACGCATTGCCTAGCTGCACCTCGCCATGCAATTTCTTAAAGGTCTTCCTTGGAAAAGGAGTATAAGTGAGCAGTTGACAAGCTAAGTCTGAGAGTTGAGTTCAAGTAGTT